TAGAACAAAAAATAATTTTCATCATTGATTAATCCACCAATAATTTTATTTACTCGATAAATTGCATGGTCTATAAAAGGTCCAGAAACAGTGAAAAATGCCTTCCACAATTTCCAAGGTGACATCTTGAATTGCTTGTTTTGTCCAACCAACAGTATAAAAGACAAAAATCATCAGATTTACTGTAACACATACAAGGGAATGTTTGTTTTTTTTTTGCTTAAAAGACAACTTACATGATTCATCTATTGTCAAAATAGTTGACAATTAACTCTCTGTTCAGCCAACATTTATAACGAAAGGCCTACACTTGCAGTATATACAGACCTGAGACACTATAAAGTGTACACTTAATCCTTTTTTTGTCTCATTTTGTCCTTACCATCTTAAATCTTCCTTGCAGGGTATACAGGAGTCCTATCCTTTTGGCCACTCTTAAATCATGGGACTTGTCACAGTGAAGCAGCACTAAACCGTACCTCTGGAGTCTGTCACACCAATAAAAGAAAGAAGAGGCTTTATCAGTAGCTGATGGAAAGTGTGGAGATTCAAAAACACTTTATGCAAAGTCCAGCTACACTTTGAGAACCCAGAGGCCAACGCTCCTGACGTGCAGCTCAACTAACATCCCACACCCACTGTATGCACGTGTGAATGCTAAGTTAAAAATGAGTGCTATGAGTCTTTTGAGTGATAATTTTTTTCAGATTTTTTTTTTTAGTTGTCAGAGTGCAAATGAAACAATGACGGAGTGTATATTTGTGAAATTTTGTGTATATGTGTGTGCAATGCACAACCTGAAAGAGAGACTTTGGAGGAAAAGCCATTTATTTTGCCAACTGATTCTCCAGTTTCTGCTGTCACTCTTAATATATTGGTTTCTGAACCAGTTTCCTTTAACTAAATTTAATAATATGAAACTATCCATTAAATATCACAATTAAATTTCCATCTTAATCATTTGGCACACACCTTTTTTGAGAAGGGGAACAGCGACTTCCCCCAGGTTCATTTAGTCAGTCAGTTTTTACCAATGTTTTTCAACATGGCTTGTGCATCATGGGATCTAATTTCTTTTCTCATTGTAGCTGCAATTTTAGATGCAATGCAATGTTCTCCCAGTGGAGGGGGTGAGTCACTGCTCTAACAAGAAGAAGACAAGAGCTGAGAAGCAGAAATCTTAGTTACAGAATGGCTCCTATGATTTGGTGAAACTTAGTCCAGATTAATGTACAGGAAAAAATTTTCTAGAGCTAGAATTTAGAGCAACCGATTTAATAATGTCTTCTGTAGTCAAACATTAAATTTTTGTAGCAACTCAGTGTAAATGGAAGCCAGACTTTTATGAAATTGGCATGAAAGCTCAAGGAGTCCTGCAAGACAGCGAGGTTTCTTCTCATCCATTAATTAGAGTAATTGCTGACACTCGGAAAATACATATCTATGAAATATTAGAAGAATATTAGCAGAATATTAATTATTGGTAATAATGAGTATTAGAGATTTCCCCAGTCAATGTACTGAATTAAAATAAAACACAAAGTAAAAGGATTAATGTACATTATCCCATAACACATTGAATTTAAGCCATATGAACAGTGGTAAAGACATAACTTCACATAATAAATTAAAACATATTTATTGTGGCCCTGCTCTGAATTCTCATTTTAAAGCTGTCTTGGACTTGCTTTTGTCACATTAAGTCGAATGTATTTGATGAATGTACTAGAGGATAAAGGTTTTTGGAAACATATTAATTTACCCAAAGGTTCTGCATTGTATATTTGCATTGAACTGGCAGTTTTGTTAGTGTGATAACGTTTTGCATTGTCCCGTCTCTCGTTCAAATTATGCTTGGGATGTTCCACATTCAAGCACACAAATGTCCTCATTGATCTTAGATAAGCTCTGTAGACATGTTGGAAAGTTTTATCCTGTTTCAGATGCAACATTAACCACACCAGTAAAATTAAAAACAAATGGCAGTATCATGTTTTCCTTAGGAACTATTACTGCATTATTTACTTGCACTAACAGGCTGATCTATGCAGTAATGTGACTTCTATGTTATGGTCTGTGCGTACTTAACTCCTCCACAAGTACAGTTAAGTCCTGAAGGGTTTATCAACTCTGTGATTTTATCTGTCATCCAAAGCCACTGTGTTAGACCAACTTGTCAGATGAACACCCCTTTTAATTGAAGCACTAACTGTAAGCCCCAGGGTTACTGAGCTGAAGAACATGACCACCAGCCGCTACTACAACATGTTGGAAGAATCTTTGGGCTCTCTGCTGTTTCACAGAATGGTGTGTATTTCTTGTGAAAAATGTTAATGATAAACGTCTCTTCCTACTGTCAATGTCAATTCAGGAAGTGCCGAGTGCATTTTGTTCTTTGTGTATTGTCTCTTTCAAGTTTCTTCTGGCCAGATTGCAGAATGAATCAGTTGGCATTAGACTCCTACAACAGCACATTTACGAGAGTTAGTAAGTGCAAACAGATGAAGAGGTGAAAGCTTTTTTCCTGTATGTATGTTTGATGAATGTTTGTATGATTAAATTATCACTTAAAACTGAAATCTTAGACTTTGTGTCATGTTTGTGCAGCAGCTTTAACTAACAGGTTGTAGTTCTGAAATGTGAATAAATTTCAAGTCGTGATTTTATACTGATTTTAACACCAGCCTTTATATTTTTATCGCATTTTCTTCTTTCCAAATAGTCAGTTATAAGATTTCTCTGTATTTATACTTTTATTATTTGTTAGTTCCTAGGACATCCCATGCTATTAGACATTAAAACAGTTTTATTATTTTCAAATCTAAAATATCTGTTTGCATTTGTAAGTAATGTTATTGCATTTTAATTGGTTCTTGTTCAGTGCTGTGATGCTGTTTTTGCATTTACTGTAACAGGGACTTAATCAGTTTAAGCAAATTATACATTACATACATTATAATACATACATTTTAAGCATAAAGAAATATTTAAATTAACATGAAAAGCATATAACAAGAAACTACTATATAATTAAATACATTATCTCATAGACCACATTAATGTTTTAACTCGTTAACTTGGGGACTCGGTTGACATACTGCCTACTCTTGCTCATCAAGTTTTTACATATAGTAAAAACAAATGATGAGAGTTGATGTAGTCTAACGAAAACTAACCTTAGATTGAACTTAAAGCTTAAATAGACAGACCATGGCCAGTGGATGAACAGCAAGCTCATGTGATGAGGTTTTTCTCCCTTTTTACACTTCAAGGAGGTGTCAGATTACATATTAGCCTGGAGGTTTACTGGTCAAATGCAGCTCCTCTAAGGAGCCCCACTGTTTTCTAGGGTCTGTTGTGTCTGTCAACGGCAGTGTCCAGCAGCAGTCTGCGAAACCAAACCAAACTGCCCGAGGGAGCAACGCTCACTTGTCATTTGTTCAGGTTGAGTGTTACATGTAAATGTGTTACAGCAATGTACAAAGGAAATACAGTAAGTGCAAGATTAGCAGATGAATGACTCACTCCAAAGGTCCCGCTGACTAAAAGGTTTAACTAAGTAGCTGTAGTTGTTCTGTTTCAGGCAGTAGCAGTACTCTGTGGCTCATTTTTAACTTTCTCCATCCAAGCTGAGAAGAACAGATTATGAGCAACTTCACTTTTAAAGCTGTCATTCTACAACTTATAAGAGGGCTTTTAAAGATGATCTGTGTGGGCGGAAACACAGGCAGCAGCTCTTTGTAATATTTCAACACAACCGCACAAACATTACTGTTTAGTTTAAGCAAACATTTACACACTCTCGCTTTCCCTTTACCTCTCTCTGACTCTCGTACTCGCTCTGTATACCAGTTATTCAACTTTTCCAATAATAGTTTTCCACCTTTGAAAACATATCTAACCATTGATGGTTTATTGATATTTCATGGATGTTGTGGCCCATGCTCTAGATCCCATTTATCCTCATATAGCCCGCCTTTCTCATGTCTTAGTTCCAGCTGAAATCAAGCCTATAAAATACTCTCAGTCCTTCAATTAATCCTGACAATTTATGACAAAAGTTAGTCTCTGTATGTGGCTGTCTGTGTGATCATCTCTGTCCTACAGAGGTGGCCTCCAAAAGACCCAGAGATAACTGGTTAGTAAAAATGTCTGAGGACATTTCCACACTGAAAATTCACTTTTATCTTCCTCAAGCTTGACTGCAGTGAAAAGCTACAACATGCAAACAGTGTGCTAATCATCTAACAGTTTAACAACTTGGCAACGACTTTTATTCGAGTAGAAAATCTGCCTGAAAAAGTGGGATTTCACTTTTTCTGCAGAGAGTTTTTTCAGTTGCTCAGGTAGAAATCATTTATGGGCCTGAGCTGTAGATTTATTCCGAAAGAGAGATGAATTATTCTCCACCTCCCACACAGAATAGTGGAACTTTGACACGATTACCCTCGTGGATCAGATTAGATTAGATAAAATTAGATTTCACCAATACTCTGGCTTCAGTAGTTTTGTGTTTAAAATTCACAAAGTTTAAATATTTTTCCTTAAAACTGCCATTCTTGAAAATAATGGCAAACTCTAAAAAAGGTGCCCTCCCAGCTTCTCTCCCCAGACTGTTAAGACCCAGGCTGTTAAAGGCTCAGCAGGTTTGTTTACTTAAGGAACTCTCCATACTAATACTGCCCCAAGTCATTATTAAGTAGGCACTTAGAGCAACCTCCCTCATTGAGACACACCCTGTCTTTCAGAACTGATGTCATGAAGGCACTGTGTCCCAAATAAGTCAAACTCTTGCTACAGCCAGGAGTCCAACAAAGTGTCTCAGTGGCTGGAGTGGACTAAAGTGATCCAGCTCTGAATGCTAGGAAGGACACGAAAACTACATACAGCGCATCCTCATCTGAGGGCAAAATAGTCACAGTGTCCAGAGGACCTGGACATCAGTCCACACTTAAACTGAGACAGAGGAACAGCCCAGGAGAAGAGCGAGGCAGAGCTGAGAAGAAGCCTCAGCAGTGGAAGAGCTACTGAATCCACTATTTTCAAACACTGACAAGGTAAGACTCCTACTACCACCACTACTACTATCATTACTATCATCATACTACCACTGCCAGCACTTCTTTTACCAGTAGTGGATGAAGTATGCAAGTCCTTTACCTAAGCAGAAGTAGTCACACACCTGCAGACCTGTAAATTCTCATTTGGACAGAAAATAGATCATGACTGGGATCATTTTGCCATTGAGTTTTAGGATAATTTAGTTTCATCATTGTTTGCAAACAGTTTGTGCTTTGTTCTGTTCTGTATGTGTTTTATTTCGAAGTTATGTGTATTTTAAAAGATGATCTATGGACGAGCTTTGCAGTTTAGCATAGACTATACATGCTGTCATATGTGGCATTGGTTCATGCTATTCACTTGTCCCTATACAAATAAACATTAAACAATTTAACTACCATAAAAGGCCATTTTCAATGATGACATTTTGACATGTCACAGTAAGAAAGACACAGATTAATGAAAGCTGAAGTTTATTTACCTGCTTCAGTTTCAGGGTTCTGCTGTTGTGCCTGCCGACTCACTGTCACACTGTCATGGCTGACTGATGCTTGAATAGAGCAGAGCAATCGTTAATGATATTAGTAACACCTGTGCTTTCCCCACTTTGACAACCCAGAAGATTGCTGCATACTGTGCTTGTTTGTTTTTTTGTTTTTTTATCATCTACTATTTTTATATTCATTATTTTTGGAAAATTGTAAAATAGCATTAAAATAATAGGCTAACTCTGAAATGCCTGAAATGAAATGTTTAGTAGCATAAAATGAAAATACTCAAGTAATGTAAAAAAAAACCCCCTCAAAATTGTAAATAAATACATGCATATTTGATTATATTTACAGTTACTTTCCACGACTTTACTCCCATTCTTACTGTTACTTTACTGTTAGTACAAGTACCGAGTATACTGTCTATTACTATACTGCCACCAACACTACAACAGCTATCACATCTAATGACATTGGTCCTGCTGTGCTCTGATAATGATTATAACAATGAATTTGCTTTCTTATAATGATGTCCGGACTAGGCTATTGAAATCATTTAATATAATTTAAAGCGATGTATTTCAACAAGAACTGAGTAGGCCTATAAAATATGTTGTTAATTCATTTAGGATTTCTTCTGCCATTTTATGATTTATTTATTTGGATAAATATCAGTTTTAATTTATGAAGAACTGGTTGAAAAAGTTGCTCAAGCTGATTTAATTAATCATTGTTTCTGCACATTAAGAAAAATGCTACATTAAAAAGAAGTAACTTCATTCAATGTCTCTCTGCCACTTTTAATATCTCCTGCAGGCTGAAACAAACACACACACACACATACACACACACATGCACACGTGCACACACACGCGTGCACACACACACACACACGCACACGCACACGCACACGCACACGCACACACACACACACACACACACACACACACACACACACACAGACACACAGGCTCACACAGACACACATATGTGCACAGAAACAGCCGCAGACATTTTGTCAGAGCAGACACAGAACGGCTCATAAAGGTGTGAGATTATCACATGTCCCTTAGTCCAGAGAACAGTGGAGTGTAAGGAGCAGTGAATGAGCTTTTTGTATCGACTAAATGCCTCTCATATCAGTTTGGCTGCAATCTAACGATGTGTTAAACACAGCACCAAATAATAAGCTTGATATCATGAGCATGCTGCTTTCATCTGAGCAGTACATAGAGAGAGAGAGAGAGAGAGTGAGAGAGAAAGCATATCCTAGACAAGAAAGTTTTTGCTGCATCTACACATTTAAACTGCTAATGCCTGTAGTCAAGGAAAAAGTAGCAGACACATGGACCAGACATCTGGGCAATGCAGCTTGTTCACGTAGTCAAATAGTCACATAGTCTTTTTTTCAGAATTTCCATCGTTTTAGACAAATGTATAGGTATAATATACATGTTGTGCATTTGTGGTGATCCTTTATTATTATTGGTCATCTTGCCACGTTATACACAAAACTGTATATAGATACACAGTAATCCCAGCACCTAAGATGATGAACATTTGTGGTGAATTAAAAAAAGAAAAGTTGGCAAAAGGCAATAAATAACAGCTACGTATACTGTCATCTCCTTTTCTACTGCAAGTACAATTTACCTACCACTTATCTATAGGTCTGTTTTGTTAACTAAACAGATTTTATCTTTTGTAATGGAATCCCACAGCAGTAGGTCAGCTTTTGGGAACTGCCTTATGTCTTAGGACACCTCGCACCATGTGTCAATGTTTTGAAAATGTCGGTCTACCTGCCTCTACCAGCACTTCATAATCAGTGTTTACCAAAAGATAAACTGTGAGTAGTATTCAGCATAATACGTTTAGAGTGAATACAGTGTGATACATTTCACTCTTAAAATCAAAATCCAAAAAACTTTATTGTCCATTTCAAAGCAATGGATATTTACCTTTGACATGGGCCACACAGGTACACATAGAACAAAATCTGTTTTAGTGAAGTCTCTTGATACTGCTTGTCATATGTCTTTTTTTAATGCCTCATGTATTCTATTTCTGAGTAGCAGAAAAATGAAGGAACATAAAAATACTAGCATTTTACTTTAATCACTGTGAAGTGAAACATACTGTGTTAGTTTTCATGTAGGTGTATATAAAACACATTTTTGTCAACTTAAACACTGGCATATCACACCACTCCCCTCCTGTTGAGCTGTTCTCTTACTCATACTATGATAAATACGTTCCAGTCACTTAGCCTTTATCCACACATTGTATGTGTCCCACCCTTTATGCTGTATTCTATCAAACATTCTTTTGCAATTAACTTGTGATCCGTCGTGTCGACCTGATGTGGTCGATATCTTTTAAAGGCAGTGGGTGTTTCATTGTGATAGCGGCCAAACAACTCTTTTACCAGTAAAACTGACAAACACATTCATTTTTACTTGTAGCTGGGGTTACAAACAAGCCTTTGATCTTCCTTGTATAATCTGTATTTACAATCTAAAAGACGGAGTAGACTGGACCTGAATATTTCCAAACATATAGATTCATGAGAGAATCTAAAATGAATGCTCATAGATACTGGATTAAAAACAGACTGACATTTTGGAAGTCAAACAGTGGCTTCAATGAAGTGAACTGTCGTAAAGGCTCCAGTTGGCTAAAATGGAATAACTGATTCCTTATTCCAGAGTAAGTCCAAGCAAAGTAAATATCACAGAACAAATGTCAAGTTTACTTTAGGATTGCTACTGTTTAAATATTGAGAATTTGGGACTGGTTGCAGCATCAATGCCACTCTGTCTCAGAGGACAATGTCACTGTTCAACAGGGTGTTAAACTGTTATGACACCAATGACAACATTTTGTGAAAACAGTGCTTTCTTCTTCCAGCCTGAAAGGAGTCTGAGCATGGGGAGTCCAGGTCGTGAACACATGGGCTGCACTGCACACTCGCCTCTGTACATCACTCACCCCCACACTAACCCCTGGTTGGAAGAGGCGGAGGACATCAAACCGCCCCGTGGTTTGCTGGGGCTCCCTGAGGTCAGCTGGCCGGGGATCTACGTCCCCTGCTACGACAGATTAGCCATGGAGGAGAACCCCTGGGTGCTAGGGATGACAGAGCCCCCCGCTCTTGCTGCTCTTCCCTCCAGGACTCCGGAGGTGAGCCCCCCTGCACCCAGCCAAGCCCAGGACTCCTCTTCTGAGGTGGAGGGTCAGGTGGAGGAGCGCTGTCTGGAGCAAGTCCGGACCATGGTGGTGGGAGAGGTGCTGAAAGATGTTGACACAGCCTGCAAGCTGCTCAACATTGTTCCAGGTAAAACAGAAGATGACAGGCTAATGTAATTCTATCACATTCAAACAGAAAAACCTGCTGTAGAAAGTTATGACAGAAGTTGTAGTCTAATAAAATAAACCTTCAACCATCATTTGCTTGTTTACTCTGGCATCAACATCTACAGTGACACTCAAGTGACACCTGGTCAGTCAGTATCTGAGGCCCTGCTTATGCAAACTCCTCTGTTGACAAGATCATCTTCAGTTCTAAAGAACTGAGTTGTTATCTGGAGCCTTCAAAATCATTCACTGTGTGAGCGATTATTTGCTTTTGTTATGACAGTCTCACCATCCCAGAAATTATGAGACATTTACAGCTCAATACCTGTTGTATCATAGTCATAATTAAAAAAGAGTACTCCAGCTCCAGCACTGAACTTCCATAAAGAGTCTGAGTAAAAACAATAGTCAGAATCAAAGGCTGAGATATCCTGACTTTTTGCTGCTAATATGGGTACACTGTAGGCTGGATCCTACATTTCCCACAATGCAACCAAAAGCATCTTTTAGAACCTACTTGCTTGGTGAGTGTTGTCGTCTTCACACCTAGCATAACATCACTTATGTTTTTTTTTCTGAGATTTGACAAAGCTCCTCCTTAGAATTACACTTTCTTTTATTACTTTCAATGACTCCTAATTTGACTTTAAAAACAGCCCAGTGACCCTCTGAATTAACATAACACTAAGTCAAGTCGTCCAACAACAGGCTTTGTTTTTGTCTTCTGTTTGGTTAATAGATGATAAGATGTGGTTGCATTGTCATCCTTTAACTGTTCTGATGACAGATAACTGTTAAAGTTCAGACAATCAGATTAAATTCTGTCAAACTTTGCTTTTTATCTTGTCTATAGTCATTCTAAAAATCACTCTGTTTTAAAGGGGTACTCCAGCAAATGGTCCTGATTTTTAATCCACAGTCCACAACTATCAATCGTCTGGACTTCGCTGCTTGGTGAATGTACAGAGATTGTGGATTATCAACAATCATTGTCAACAATATTTCATTTAATTCAGTATTAAGTAACAGCTTCATCAAAACAAATGTTGGTAACAGACTTATTGAAAACTGTTAAGGCCTGATTATTGACACATTTTCAGCATCAGAAAATCAAAGCCAAACATGTGGGGAGCTGTGTAAGAGAAAATACCTGGTCTCTCTATGATTTCCTCCTCAGATCCTTTAGACTGGAGCTGTGTGCATGTTCAGAAGTGGCTGCTCTGGACCGAGCACCTGTACAAGCTGCCACAAGTCAGCACGATGTTTCAGGAGCTGACCGGGAGGGATCTGTGCTCCATGACAGAAGCACACTTCAGACAACACTCCTTGCAGTTTGGAGATGTGCTGTACGCTCATCTGGACATCTGGAGATCTGGTAAGAACAACAGCAACACTGGGAAATGAACCATCAACTCTACTGTAGTGTTGGCAAGTTAGAGAAGGTTGCTTGTTTTGCAAACTGCTGCTGGATTCATTCTTTTTTTGTTTGTTCCTTTAGCTGCAGCGATGAAGGAGCGCTGTCCACCAGAGGACAGTAAATCTGGTAAGTTCTTGGTTTTGACTGGGTGCAGTTACAACACATACAACCATACTGCAATGAGTACAACGCTGTAGTAAAATAAAGTGAAACAACATAGTTTAGTCAAAAAATGTGTCATCTGGTTTCTGAAAATCTCGCCTGTGTCAGCAGCTGATGATGATTCCTGGTCAGATGTGATGTGTAACTACCCCAGCCAGCCCATCCACCTGTGGCAATTCCTTCAAGAGCTTCTCCTCAAGCCGCACAACTACAGCCGCTGCATCCGCTGGCTCAACAAAGAGAAAGGTAATGTGATAGATAGAGACACAGAGAGCTGTAAGCAGAGAAAATGAATGGCAGTTAGGCACACCAGTTGACCTGGTGCCTGCAACTAATCACAGGGACTCTTATACTGTATATTGTATACTGTATACAGTCTTGTGCTGTAGGCTTTCATATAATTGATCCTTGCTGAGTGTTTGTGAGGCTTTGTTGTATTTAAAATTGCAGTTGCCCAAAAAAAATCTTACATAAAAGTTATGCTATAGAATTAATACCTGGTGGGAAACACATAAACCAGGATACTGAGACATGTAAAGCCCATCCTGTCTACTGATGGGTTATGGAGCCATGCCGACCCCGTGTAGGCCTAATGTTCTAGTCAAACCAACAGTCTGGTCTTTGAAAGCATAGCATCAGACACAATATACCATATAACGTAAGCAGGTATCCATAAATGGGTTATTCAGGATTCATGAAGTTTACTATCGAACCTAATCATGCATAGTACAGCCTCACTGATTGCTCTATTCTGCACCTTGTTGGGTTTCAAGACAGTTCAATACCCTTTGAGACTGTTTAGTTTCATAAACCATGCCATGAACTATTACATAAGATCAGTCTAACCTGTGATCGTGTGGTTAGTTATAGTCAAATAATGAATGTAAACTTGCTACTGCTGGAACAGTGGTTACATAACATAAGCAGAATTGCATTCCTTTTAGCCTTAGCTTTATTTTGTGTTTAATTTGTTTTGTGAATTTTCTTTCTTCTGTCCACAGGAATTTTCAAAATAGAAGACTCAGCTCATGTGGCCAGACTGTGGGGCATCAGGAAGAACCGCCCAGCTATGAACTATGACAAACTGAGTCGCTCTATACGCCAGTACTATAAGAAAGGAATCATTCGGAAGCCTGATGTTTCCCGTAGACTGGTCTACCAGTTTGTCAACCCTGTATGATGAAGGGGATCAGCTGATCAGAAGACAATTATTAGCTCAGGGCCAACCAAAAATATGCTGGACATACGGTAGAAGTAACATGAACTCTGAAGCTTATTTGTATATTGTATTTGATGTTTCATGCCAATTGTATAGACTGCCTACTGAAACATGCACTCCTGCCTATCATAATTTCACTCTATTTTATAATTCTTAAAAAGTGGATTTTATTTTGTCTCTTTGTTGTCTTTAGCACTCATGTTTAACATTACTCTTTGGTGTGATGTTTGGTTTCTCAAAGGACTTTTTTTTCCTTCTGACTGAGGAAACATTAAAAAAAAAACTAAATATGCCTTTTCCCTGTTTGATGAAAAGATTCAAATGTCCCATGTATACTTAATTCTGGTGGTAGCAGTCAGATAGCTTAGATTAGCATAAAGACTGGAAACAGTGTGAAACAGCTGTCGCTGCTCTGTCCAGTTATGAAAAAGTCTGTATATGAGCACCTCTATGGCTCACTGACACATTATGCTGTGTCATGTTTGTGTAATTCATAAAAAAACAAAGTGTGGCTTTAAGGGCTCATAGGGTCTTTTGTTACTTTTGGACAGAGGTAGGCTAGCGTTTCCAGTCCTTGCTAAACTCCGTGCTAAGCTAACTGGCTGCTGGCTCCAGCTACATTATTGTACAGACATGAGATTAGTATCTTCTCAGCTAACTCTTTGCAAGAAAGAGAGTTTTTAAGTGTAATTCCCAAAATGTAGAACTATTCCTTTAAATTCTCTTTTTTTAAACGATGACACTTCCTATTATTCCCGGGTGTCGAGAATATTTAGAAGTTGCAGAACAATGCCAAAGTAAGTGAATATTTTATTAAACCTGCTGTGATAAATAGTCCTTACATATCATTCTTTGGGTTTATGTTCAAGATCTACAATAAAGCATTAACTTATTACCAGGTGTTGTCCCTTTAAAAGCAGAAACAAGAAATACTCCAATAAAACACTCACGTGCAGTCCATACAAAAAACACACTGACACTAACTTTTTTTTTTCAACAAACTTGTTTCCCTTTCATACCAATATCGCAATATTGACACCATCACAACAAATTTGATTTGGGTTTTTCATCACTATCATCATTATTATCTGTGATCATAATCATCTTTATGCATATTTAAATGAACTTCTTGTTACATCAAGATGAACAGGCACTACACCAGTTAGGAGATAAAAGTACATCACTAACTATGAACATACATCTTCTAGACCGCTAATATAGGGTTTCCACAACATGAGCTGCTGTCCCCTGTGTGCATAAGGAAGAGATCATCAACATAAAAAAGCATTTACATGTACACCTTTTTACTGCCTCAACATGGTTAGGTCTCATTTTCAACTCAACACAGTTGTACAGTTACAATAGAATATAATCTTTAAATTACATCATCATATACAAATCTGACAGCGTGGGATAACGTCACGCTTTTATGATACACTGACAATTCCATTGCAATGAAATTCATACGATATGGTACCTATTACTTAATATGTTTTCCTTTGCTGTTATTTTAATGAAACACATTTACATGTATAACACTACATTTTGTCTTAATAGTCAATCACTTGCATTTTTTTTTTTTTTTTTTTACATTTTTTCTGTTACATTTACACAACTCATACACACTGGATGATGAAGATGTTTTCCCCCAAAATATTAACCTGGTAAAGTGGATTATGTGTTTGAACTTGCGTGTACTGTGTATATTCGTGTGTTTAATGCGTGTGTATTGGTGTGTGCGTGTGTGGGTGGGTGTGCATACGCGCATTGCGGATGTGGGACAGTTTGATGATAGGAGTCCTTTTTGCTATGCTGGACAGCTTTACTCTAAGACACAACTTGTGAGCTGGTGATGTGTTTCTCCTCATGTGTGAGACCCAAACCTGTCAAATCCTGTTCCAGACACAGAGCTAAACACATCTGACTGCTGTTGGTCTGGTGAAATTTAAAAACTTCAGGACAACTAAGTTATAAAAAGCTCTCTCTCATCTAATCAGAGATTTAGGTGCAACTCGTAGCAAGACAACTCACTAATCAACGTCTGATGAATGCCAGTTCCTGCTATAAATTTAATTTCTATGGAGCAAGTTAAAGATTTAAAAATAACCATGTAATGCACTGTGTAAGCATCATCTTACATGCAGTGCAGTACTGGTGACAAATGTTCTCCCTGTGTCATTGCGCAGTGTTTTGCAGACAAATGAAGTTTGGGTGGACTGGGAGGCAGCTACAAGTTCATCTTCACTGAAGCTGTTTCATATGTGATATGTGAAGTTATTGCATGGAGAGAAAACAGAGTTGATGGTACTGGGTCATTCTTTGGCTCAGCAGGGAAACGGGCCACATAACTAGTGCTTTTTGCTAGGTAGGGCTTTAACTGACAGTGGAGAACCATGTTTAGACAACATGCCCTCTTTCAAGCCCAAACACTAGTACATTCATGTCCTGTTGGAGAGGCTTCGATCTTCAGACAACAGTCTGCAGCACAGTAATGCATTGACATGCCTCCATTGGCCCCTCACTCTGGAAGAAAAGTGCCCGGCAAAGGCATTGTTCAAAACCCTCCTCTCATACTGCAGTGGCACCCTCAAAAAGATGACTTGATCCGGCTTCGCTCAGAGGGAATGTATCACTCATGTTTCTTGTTAGCAGTAGTGGATTAAAATAAGACCTGAATTACTGAACCAAGAATGAAAGCTTCTGCAGAAACTGCATATCCTTTCCATGGGTTGCATGAAGATGATATTGTGATGCTAAGAAAAAGAAATATCTATGTTAAAAACAAAACAAACAAACATAAAATCGGTTCATCAACAAGCTTCCTCTCATGAAAACAGAAGCATGTACATGTCCAGAAGCACGTGATGCTAAAAAGTGAACTCTGCATTTGTAGTTGAAGTGTTGCATCAGGTTGTAGCCTACACAAGGCTGCAGGAATCAGGGAATGCAAGTTGTTGCATAGCACATGCTGCTATGCAAGCTTAGAAACAGTTAGAAACACATAGCACTGCACACACTGGAAAAGAGGTTGGACCAAATCACAAAGAAAAACAAAAAAAGAAAAGAAAAGGATACTGTCTGTGGTACTTTTAACACTACACAGCATTCCTGATGTAAGAATGACGACTGACCACACACAGCATTAAAAATGCTACACAAAAATGGCATCACACTGTATATACACAATGCAGGTTAGAGAAGCTCGTCTTTGTCGAATGGGTATAACTGATTATATTATCTTCCCATTTTCACAAGAGAACAGACTGCAGTGTACTGCAAGTTTAAATAAGCTGCATTATATGTTAAATACAGCTACACAGAGAAGCAATGTGTTCCTGCACTGTCTTGATGTTATAGTTGAGTGTGTATATACTGGAATAACTGCTGCTCCTGTTTTTAAATGTGTAAGTCCACCCACCCCAAATGCTGGATAAAATATATTATACTGATATATTGTCTTTTAGGTTACTAAGTTTTTATTTAGGCAAGACTGCTTGGCGCATCTGTTGGGCAAGGGATGTGTTGCTCTTAAGTCTCTGGCTATGTGCGGTGCAATTGGATGGGACAGTTCAAGCTGCCTCCAATGGCTTGTCCTTGTCCAGTAACGTGACTAGATTGGCTCGACGTAATTGGCCGGGTACAGTCCCTCTCGGCCGTTGTCCAAACGACCTCTACACCAGCCTTGCTCGTCTTCATCCTCAGTCTTGGTCAGTTCATCACCTGTGAAGGAGACACCACTCCTTAATCAACACGCAGTCTCGTGTCAAATAGTGAGAGTGAATCAAAATCTGAAAGAGATATTTGAAAATACTGCTCCACATTTCTGCTGATTAATGCCTTTTAGATTTCTATAATACACGTCTCTTTTTGTATTGTATTATAGCTGGTATGAAATTCTGAGGTTATGAATCCAAGTCTTCTCGCTCCCAGTAAAAATCTGATTAAAGAAATTTAATATATTTTTTTATTATTTTGAATTTTCATATTCTATCTACTCAGATAAAGAAATTATTTGACTTTTTCAGAAGGATAGCTGTGCCTGTACAGTAAATATGAGCTCCTGGTGGTTAGTTTATCTAAACATAAAGACTGGGAAGAGAAGGAGTAAACTAGGTAATTGCCTGCTGGCTTATGCTACACTACACATCTAACTCATAGAAAAGAGCGTGGTATCAATCTTCACAAATAACTCATGGCAAGAAAGCAGATGCACTTCCCAAAAAGGTAAACCATTCCTTTTACTGTGAATTTCAAATGGTCTAAACGCTGTCTAAAAGTCTCCAATACAGTTAGGAATCTAACTGTGGTGGAAAAATACTGAAAACCTTTTTTTATTGTTCTTCTCTTCTTCTTTCCTAAAATTAGCCAAATATAAAGATAGTGTGTGTGTAGAGTGACCTATCAAGTGTTATTTTTTAATTGTAGGATGTAAAGTCAGTTTTTGTATAGGTATGCAGACTTCTTTTTTCCCACGTCTAATGCATTTCAGTGACTTGAATTTGATTAGGCTGTGCCGATCCTGTTTCACCGAATAATCAAGGTAGAGTAAATGAAAGATACCCTATGGAGTTTTTGACCATTAATAATACTATGAAACATTGTTTTTATGTGTGGGTCCCTGTTGTGTGTTTTCACATGGATGTGCATGAGGACACACGCTCACAAGCACAGGGTGACACCAATATACTGTATAATACAATTCCTGCCAATTGTCTCACATTATTCCACTAATGTACAGGTGGCAGTAAAGAACCAAGAGACACAGGAATAGAAATAGAAAAGTTCTAGCGAGTACACACAAACAAAAAATTTGCTTTGCAAATGTTTTCTGAGGAAAGAAATTCATTCAACACATTCATTACGCCTCAAGGATTTACATAATTGCACTTTGGTGAGTAACACTGAATGTAAACATGTGTTTTGTTTGTTTACAGGAAAACTCCATAGGACACCTTTAACTTTTAACCTCTCATTTGCATACAGGTATAAAAGAAGTCTTTAAAGACTAAAAGTTTAAAAACATCTTATCTCAAACTGTGAAGTTAGAAATAGCATGTGGGAATGAAATGAAGACACACAGCTGTGGCTTCTTTGATAATCTTTATCTGCGTAAAGCTTGTCTTTAAATAGTTAATTATGTCACTGTGTGCGGCTCTAAAAGCACTTTTTCAGACCTTTCGCAAAGAGCTTGTGATAATTGGTGGCAAGTGCCTGTAATTTGTTTTCTATGTGGCCATTATTGACTAATCACTGCTATCTTCTGAAGAGGGCGGGAGCTTTAGAGCAGAAATCCGAGGCAGAGTTGATGATTTTTGGCCAACTGTGTGCAGCTTCTCATCTCATCATAAAACCCCTGCCTGCAGTGTCCCAGGTCCTTTATACATTAATAAGTTAATGAGTACATGTGAGCTTAGCTGGATGATGGTAGGCAAAAATCATTTCTCCTGTGTCATGTGGTCACTGATAATTACCTGCTTTGAAGGAGAGCTCATCCTGTTCCTGGCCTTCATAGTCATAGAGAGCACGTACACGGACTCCTTTCCCAGTGCTGGAATCATCTTCGAATGAATTCCCGTTCCCACCGTTTTCATTGCCGGAGTACGCAGCAGGCTGCTCATCATCAGACCACTCGGTCGAGTAAGCTTGATTCTTATCATAGCTGCTCACACTGGAGGTGAGAGAAAATGCACGCTTTGATGTCAGGAGACCGCAATGCATAAGCCTTTTTAAAGATTGAGACGAGTGATAATCTATAATTTTCTTGTTGTTAACGAATCCCATGAGAAGGTCAAAACCAAGAATGGATTGATTTTACTATTAAGTATTGCTTGTATGGCTGTATTCTCCTGTGCCATAGACCTTCATTGTTGTTTTAAAAACACAACAGTGACCCAGACAATTGCACTGGATGTCATGTTCCTTTATCACAATGAACACGGACGTTTTAGTTTATTTGAATCAATTGCACTTATACCAGCGTACAGTTGCAATTACCCACTATGATTCAAAATCCACAGATGAAAATAGTCCCTGGCAAATATGACACTTAGTCCTGATGGAGTAAAATTTAGTAAAAACAGCAAAAAAAAAAAAAAAAAAAAAGGTTCATATTTGACCTGTTTTTAAAGATGTATATCGTCAGTAGGAACCAATGGGCCTGGGAGTGACTGCTACAGACATGGTCTAACACGGACGGACACATTGTTGGTTTTGGTCGTTTCGTGAGATTTGTTGATAGAAACACAAATATCATTATCAACAGTTCTTCCAAGAGTTTAAAATAAAGTAAAAGATACATTAGTCACTTCTTCCAATATAATGATCAGATTTGATTCGTAATGTAATTTCCTGATTAAATAGGGGTGTGTTTAAATGTGATGGATGTGATTGTAAACAATAGATTCCTTGAACTAACCTGCTACGGTCACCAGGTGGAGCCACATGGTCAGTGCTCGGAGTGGGTGGGGCTCCGTCTGGTTTCTTCTTCTTTGGAGGAGCACTGGCCTGGTCTGGGTTGTATTCCTGGAGAGGAGAGAGAAAGGAAACACATGGAAGCAGAATAAAGAATTGTAATAAATTAGGAGAAAGGGTTTCCTTGTGTTTTTGGTGGAAGGTTTGATGCTGTACCTCAAATGCAGGCCAGTTCATATGCATCCCAGGACCATGGTTGTTGCTGAACCACTTCAGGTCCTCTTGTGTGTTTGCAGCCAGGATTGTGCGCTCCAGTTCTCTGTATATTGTGGCATAGCTGAGGAGAGGAAAATGGAACAAATAGTGACAATGAAAGTGCCAGAAGGGATCTGGGGGGGAGGGGGTCTGACAATTTGGCAACAGAACCCACAGTGTAGTTCAAATGGGTCTGGGTTGACAGAGCTCCAATATTAGGGCATGAAAAGACTGAAGTGTCTCCCTGAGTTTTCTGCTGAAGCTGGAGCCCCCCAACAGCTGAGTTATTTGGCCTGAACAGTCCTAGCCTTGTATAAGGATTTTACTATGTTGCCACAATCTTCCTAAATCACTGCAATCTGTAGCAGATTAAAAAGGCACATTAACCTTGTAATTGTATTACCTAAAATACAGGATGAACCAATATGTCCATGTTTAACTCTGGTCTAGACCGATGCAGTAAGAAAAGTATTTTTTTCACATACAGTGTGGCATAATCACGCACAAACAGCAACATCATTGAAGTGTTTTTTTCCCCCAAAGCTGGAATAAGTGATGGAAGAAGTGAGCTACAGCATGTTTTTGAAACAGAAAATTAAGCAATTAGATTTCATAACTGGATTTTGGACAGACGAGTGAATGCCTCTCTCCAAAAGGCAGTGATATAACTCCTAACAGCGCAGCAACTGCCTCTCCACAGATAATAATCTGAAGCTTTATTCAGTGATGCTGGAGGAATATTTAAATATATTCAATTTGGGCATATGTAAATTTAAGCCAATAAAAGCTCACAGGATACCTCAATTGCCTTTTTCCAGATGTAATGTGACACCTCTGTGGCAAAGTAGAAATATAGATTAATCTAAGTATAAGAACATATCTAATATGTTGAATTTGTTGTGTTATAAATGAAATCTGGCAATAATTTATGAGAGGACTCACTGCTGCATGGAAAAAAAACAGTCTCATATACAGTAAATACATTTCATCTGCTTTTCTGTGGATAAATATATGAGTATTATGCCAAAAATGCTTTCACGATAGAGGAGGAAAGAGCACTGGATTCAGTCATAAATAAAATGAATACCACATAAAATTATAATGTTTGGGTGTGTCTAGACTTACTCTATATAACGCAATATGGGCACTCAAAAAACAGTTTCTCTTAAAACAAAGTTATCTGATGTCATTGAAGGCAACACAGGTGTGAAATGGCTGAAATGGATCAAATCGAAGGTGAATGATGAAACCAGTGCAGCTCTCGACACTCTGATGAGCTCGACTAATCCATGACAACCAAAGATGGCAGGTTTGGTTAAGGAGCCTGAGGATCACTTTGCCATGGGTGCCAGCTTTGTTGTAACATGCAGGTTCAAAACATCCAAGAATATGACAAGCATTCACTCTGAATAAAATTCAGTTTGGCAGAATCCTCATTGACTGAATCATCAATTCATTAGTGCTGTGAGTCTGAACGCTAATGAGAAATGTATGCCTGGTTGAGAAGTGTGTTCAGATTAATCAGTTTGAAGTGAACTGTACTGAATGTGACACAAAGCAAACAAATCCATGATACATTTGTTTGCAATGTGATTATTTCTGATTAAAAGTAAGGGTATGCAATCCAGCTCTAGGAATTCATTACCCATGTTGCATGTGCTGATGGTGCATCGAAATATACTGTTCATTTTGTATGATGACAATTTAATGGACTGAAATGATATATAAATGTAGGGGAGATGTGGAAAACTGAAGAATAACAAAATTGATAAAATAACATGATGAAAAATCTGTGAGGTCTGCTTTTACCACTCATACAGTATTATATGTCAGAGCAAACACAGTCAAGTGATCCTGAAACAGTAGCTCTGAGAAGCCTAAATAAAAGTGGCTCCTTCAGCCTGACTAACCTTGGGTTCTCAGTGAGGTTAAGGTGGCGTTTGATGTCCAGCAAAGCCTCCTTGAGGAAGGTCAGCCTCTTGACTTCATGCTGCTGGCACTGGTCAAACACTTGCTCCATGCTCTCCATGTACTGAGGGGTGCACTTGTTCAGCTCCTCCAGAGACTTCTCATACTTTTCTTTAGCCTTAGACAGAAAACAGAAACCACAGATTAACGAATTGGCTAGAAAAATGTTTAATTATAATTCCTATTTTAATGACTAACTTATTCTTATTTGGAAATTCATACACTGCAATTATAATATATATGCCCCCTAAAACTTCAATGGCCTTTTAATGGGGCTTGCACTACACTTTAATGTACTTCATGGTGCTGTGACTTTTTTGTACAACTAAATGTCTGCTCCTATAACCAAATGTATCATTTAAATATGCCCATCTTTGCCTTTGCACCGCATTCATCTATCACGACATAACATCTTAAACTGTTCATTTAAATAAGAATATGTCAAAAGCCAGATCAATTAGCTTAATCAATAGCCATTTAAAGCCCTGCCAGGTCACCAATATGCAGCAGCAGAGAGAAGGAGCCTGCAGCAGTGAGATAAGACAGGATGATACTTTGTGGTCTGTTTGCAAAGAAATGTATATATATATAACCTTTATTTAGACAGGGGAATCCATTGAGACCGAGGTCTCATTTTCAATGGCGCCCTGGTTACATACAAGGAATCTGATTCATAAAAACAATATAAAACAATCAAACATTTGTTTGTTCATAAAACAGTGTAAAACAGTCAATACAAAAACACACAATCTCACCAGTATCATATAAATTAATAGCATAAAATAAAAAATTGAAAATAAATAAATAAATAAAAAAGTTTAAATTTATGTTAAAAAATATACAAAACATATACAGCCCTAAACATAAGGCTCAAATAACAAATCTTAAATGCGCCCAAAGAGACTATGTTATTTAACTTAATTGTCTCATTAAGGTTATTCCAGGCTCTAGGCACACAATAGCTAAAAGCAGTTTAACCCAGTTTAGTTTTGACTTGTGGCACTTCAAGGATTAACCAATCCTGAGATCTTGTCTGGTAAGGATTAAAGTGCCACACAATGAGGGATGTTAGGTAATGAGGTAGTTTTTGTAAGATAGCTTTATAAGCATACATAAGCAAATGCTGTCTTCTCCGAGCAGCCAGGGCGACCAACCCACTGCTTGGTAAAGATTACAGTGATGTGTTCTGAAGTGATCACCAGTAATGAAACGAAGTGCTGAGTGATAAACACTATCAAGCTGTTTCAAAGTGGTAGCAGCAGCATGCATACAAATGGTATCACCATAATCAAGTACAGACAAAAAAGTAGATTGTACTAACCGCTTTCTAGTTTCAGCCGAAAAACAAGATCTGTTTCTAAAAAGGAACTCAAGGATCATCCTCAACTTTTTAGCATGATGTTTAAAGGAGAGCTCTTCATCAATGAATACCCCAAGGTACTTACGGGTGGACACTCTTTCAATTTAAGAACCATCCATTGTGCAAATATTGAAATCAATTTACTCCAAGGAGTGTGATCTTGTAAATGGAATATATTTTGTTTTTAAAACATTTAAAACAAGTTTAAGCTGTAAGAGTGAATGTTGGATTGATTCAAAAGCTATCTGCAAAGTAGATAAGGCTCCCTTCAATCTAGGTGCAGATGAATAAAGCACAGTGTCGTCAGCATTAAAATTCACCTTACAGCCATTATCGAATGAGACAATGTCATTTATACATAGGGTGAAAAGTAAGGGGCCTAAAATTTAACCCTGTGGTACGCCTTTAGTGACCTTCAAAATGGTGGAACGTGCAGAGTCTGCAAAAATACATTGTGTTCTCTCTGCAAGATAGCTTGCAAACCATTGGCAGGCAATCTGTTCCAGGCCAACAGAGGCTAGTTTATTTATTAAAAGTAAATGGTCAACTGTATTGAAGGCTTAAGACAGATCAATGAACAAGGCAACACAGTACTGTCCATTGTCAAGACCACATATAACATCATTGAGAACAAGAGATGCAGCTGAAATGGTACTATGGCCAGATCTAAAACCAGACTGAAAAGTATTTAAGATGCTATTTCTCTATTTCTCTTTAAGAATTAACTAAGCTGTCAATTAAATAAAGATTCAAGGATCTTGGCTAAACAGGAGAGCTTGGAGATTGGACGATAGTTATTTCAATCAATACTGTCTCCTCCCTTATGAAGTGGAAACGTGTGCAGATTTCCAGATCTTAGGAACGATTCCTGAGCTAAGAGACAGGTTGAAAATATATGTCAGGGGCCTGGCTAAGACCAGAGCAGCTTTCTTCAGAAGACTGTGGTCAAGCTGATCAGCACCTGTAGACTTTTTTGGGTCTATTTTCAAAAGAGCATTTCTCACCTCTGTTTCAGACAGTGGACTAAAAAAGACATAGTAGTATTTTAAAGACAGTAGCAAAAAATCATGCTTTAAAATATTTGTGTGTACACAAATATGTATTAGGTATTTTTGTATATTTCATATGTGTGTATTTAATCTTCTATAATCTTCTAAACAGCAATCGTCTATCAAAGGTATCTTAACTTATTTTGCCATAATTTTGTTCTGGACACATTTGTTTTTTACTGGACTAAAACTAAAAGAATTTAATCTCTTTATTTGATTTCTGGTCTTTTTCTCACCTTGTGCATATCCTGTTTGCATTTGTCCACTTTCTCGTGGAGTTTCTTCTGCTGGTCTGGTGTGACAGAAGCCTCGGTCTTGCCGTTGGCCTCTCGGGTTGCAGCCAGCTTCTCCTCCTTGCAGGCCATGTGGTATCCTTTCTTCGCTGTCTCCATCTGCACATCCAAACACACAGACTCTCAGTACCTCAAATACATAATTTGATTCGACCAAAGGAACATAAGGGAGTCATATTTTCTCATCTCAAAGTAGGAATGGCCTTGTCCAGACAGGATATACTCCATGTTATTGTGATCACTTCATAAATATTATTATGGACCAGAGCCGTGTTTTGTTATTTAGAAAAAAAAGACCAAAGTCCTTGTCTAAGTTCTGTAATGTCATGCTGAGGCAGTTGGACCCAAACAGATCTTCAAAATGACCAAATAAATGAAAACTTCAACCTTGAACACATTGCTAAATCATTGGTTTTAGGCAGTAAAGTCAATATCCACAAAGTGTCTCCTTAAGATGAAAATCAAGACACAGTCCACTGACAGTTAATTAGTGAGTGACTCTGTGGAGTCGTTGAGTTTTTATTTGAAACTGTGAATTAGGAAACATGCCAGTATAACCACCATGGGTGCAGATGAAATCATTAGAACAGCCTACGTCTCAAAGGTAAAAGTCCAATATTATAGAAATAAGATAGAAATTCTACTTCAATCAAAAAACAAATAATTAACAGAGAATAGTACTTACATAGTCTTACAGTTTGTTTACACTTTCGAGGAGCTGATGGATTCTGGACAGAGCTAGGCTAGCTGTATCTCCTTTTTAAGGCTTTGTGCAAAGCTAAGCTAACCGTCTATTTCCCAAAATGTCCCAAATAGTGGAGAATGACAGAAGAGCGAGGAGAGATTACAGTGTTGATGTGACATAGCTGGACACTAAGCAACACAACAGTATGACAAGTAGATGGTGTGAGCTCGCGAGAACCAGTAAACAGCTCATTACATTCACGACATGCTTACTCACATTCTTACAACCATTTCTGATTTACCAGGGACAATGATGATAGTCAAATTTGTTTCCATCCACCCTCACCTCCTTGAGCTTTTTGGCCCATGGTTTCTGAGCCTTCTTGAAGCCTTCTTCCGCCTCTTTGGCCTCTTTAAAGCCACCAATCATTTGCTTGTGATATGCCTCCTTCTGCCAGTTCTTCACTTTCTCGACGTCGTCGTTCATCAGGTTGTTCTTCACGTCTTGGTGCAGCTCGCTCACCTTCTCTGCCTCGGTCATCACAGCCAACCAGGCTCTCTCCACGGAGCCATACTGTGGGCCTGCGAATCAGAAGAAATGATTCCTTGTGAATAAAATATTTAGAGGCAATATTGGGCAGTCAAATATGACCACAAAGCAAATATCAAACAGTGTAAACAGAGCTTTGGCAAACTGAAAGACAGTGTAAAGTACATTCATTTATCGAGCTATTTATTCTATTGACCCTCTCCAAAAGCTGACCTTTCTCAATAAGCTGTCTCCATCTCTTGGACCAAGCAGTTAGCTGATCACCGTAGGCTTTTTCTATCTTGGCACGTTCCTGCAGGCAGCCCATAAGGTCATTGCAGAGCCGATGGCCGTCATCAAATCTCTTGACAGCACGTTTGTAGTTCCCCACCTGAGAACAGAAAGACACAAATGGGTTAAAAGGTGGGACTTGCAAACATCTGTACATATATCACAGAGGAGTAAATACTACAAATAAATTTAAAAAAACTGACAAAAATGATATATCATGATACATGTGTGCTATAAAATGTGCAGAATTTGACTTCAGTATGGGTTTGTAATAAGTTAATTAATTAATAGTTAGCAGAGTATTAAATGTGGTTGCCACAGCAAATTGTGTAATTTTGATTTTAGATATCTAAAGAATATTAAACATGAGGCAACTTTAAGGAGGTTTAGCTCTTTCATCATTTCTACATTTTAAAGATAGGTATTTAGAGGTAGGTATGAATCACTAATTATTCCTCATCAATCATTTTTATTTTAATGCTTATTGTAATTCACAGTTAGGTTTTGCTCTAAGCAAAGAAAACACCCAAGTAGTATCAAAGTATGAGCTGAATTTCTGTCCTTTCATGTAGAAATATCACATAATGGTGCTTTAAAAAAAAAAACTACGTTCTTATTTATTTAATTATTAAGAGATTATGGTGTTTGTGTGTTTAAATTGTGGGGGATGATACTCTCAATACACTTTACCCATCCCACTGGGGGTGTATCGTCCATTATTACATATTTTTTGTGGCTGGTTCTACACATTAATTTCTTCATTGATTACAGTATCTTATTAGATTACCTTCTGTTGTTGTGCAGAATCCCAAAGCAGAAGTAAGTAAGAGGGACATTGTACTTTTTGCATTTAAGCAACACATAGACGTGAAATCTTCTGACATTTGTTGGACACAGGCTGAGTTATATGTGGGTGTCTTCACCCATCTTACTCTATACTGTACAGGAGGCAGTAAATTGCAATATATGAAATGCTACACTATCACACATTCTGAATCCAAGCAGGAAGCAGCTTCAGCCATCTTCATTCTCTGAATAAAGGTATCAAAGCTCCATGCATTCTCTATTATCCAACCCACACAAACATACAAGTACTGAGATTTATTTTCTGTCAAAATTACTTCACTCTTTTCTTTGAGATCTTGCCACCTTAAGTGAGACTGCCTTAAAAAAAAGCAACGCCAGGCTGTGTGGCTCCGCCTCCTCAGTGCCTGCAGGGGGCGTGAGCTCATGGTGCATGATGAAGGAAGGGTAGTGAGGGAGAGGGGGTTGCTCGTGCCTGTGCATGTGTAGTTATGCAATGACATGGGTGCTTTATTGCGTGTGTGTGTGTGTGTGTGTGTGTGTGTGTATCTGTTTGTGTGTGCACAAACTGCGACTGCTTTAATCCTCTTGAGTGGTGTAATGCAGGCAGACAGATTCTCAGGGAGACAGACGATGAGGTAGAGACAGAAATACATAAAAACCTCAGACTTGGTTTGTATACGCTGTAAACACATACAGTTTTATACATCATACAGACATGAGACATGAAAAGCGTGTCTGATGTGCTCGCTGGCTGCAGAGCTGCGCTGTGATTGGTCCTGACATGAGCCTGCATGTGTGCTTATGGTTTGAGATGAGAGCGCTGCAGGGAAGCAGTGAGACAGGTGTGTGACGGTATGAGTTTTGGCCTGTGTGACAGACTGCCAAATCACACCAACAACAACACACAGGTACACTGGTTCTACATATGAAAACACACCTGAGCTCTTGTATTTCGACAAGGTGGGGATTATTTTATGGCTATATGAGGTTTGATTGTGTTTTTTTGCCCAGTTGTATGACACAACCAGAGAGTAAAGCATTTTTCTTTTAGCACTTATAAACCATGAGCTGATCCGAGCTGCGTTGCTAGTATACAGATGCTATAGGCAGGTGCATGTGGTGAAAGGCCGTCTCAGAGTGGCCGATGACTGAAGCTCTTTGTCTTTGTGTCTCTGTGGCTAAGAGCCATGATACAAAGAAGACTCTGTACTGGGGGAATTCATTAACGCTAATTTGGTTAGAAATGCACACACACAGACACATACAGACACACACATAGTGCATTCAGCACAAGTGAAGATGGATACAACTTATATGACGTTTATATTTGTCTATAACAAAAAGGATTTATAATACATACACGAAAAGGAACATTCTCTAAACAACAAAGGACTGTGTTAAAAAAGTGCCCCTGCAGTAGGTTCACATTTGTTCGTTACATCGTAGTAAAAGTATTAATTAAGTATTAATTGTGAACTGGCCACAAGGAAAGAATGATGATAAATATCTAAACATATGTTTATCTTATTCATCCATTTAGTTTGGAATAAATACTTTAGGTGAATGATGGAAGCTCATTTACAGCAGAAAAATTATTCTTGCATTGTAACAACCTTAAGTTTGTTTTTTCATAGCCTGCCTTAACTTTTTTCCTAGTACGAATTGTTAATTAAATTTATTCCTGCCAAGAAAAAAGATACATAAAAAGTAAGATTAGCTATTCTTACAAAGAGAACAGGGGGGGAAAAGTTAAGACAGGCTTTAAAAACGTATTTCATTTCTTTTAAAAAAGTATATGTACGTGTTCACAACACCAGATAATAAAATGAGAATAATGCAAAAGTAATGCGTTTGTTAATCACTGTCATTACTCCTCAGTTTTCTTATTATAAACACGCTTTCTTTCTTTGTCACATCTGAATGTGTCAAACCATCCTTTTTTACAGACACTACAGACAAGTTTAGATTTAAATACACCTCTTTGCATCCTTTTAGACAGTTAGAGAAGAAGAGTCTGTTATATATGAAGCTATAGCCAGCAGCCAAGGTTAGCTTAGCTTAGCAAACAGACTGGAGACAGGGAAAAACAGCGAGCTTGGCTGAAAGTCTGCTTACCAGCATCTCTAAAGCTTACTAATTAACGCTTTACATCTTACTTGTGAAATCCAGGCAGATTTTGTTACCTTGATATTTACCAGACAGATATGTGATGATATGGTGGTATCTATCTTCTCATCTAACTCTTGGCGAGACAGCAGCAGGCATCAAACCCTCCTTTAAAGCGTAAAGCCACACTTAAATTATTTTGTTTCTGCAGTGTTTAATGCCTCAGATGTGGATAACAACATCAAGTGAAGTGACCCCTCGGTGGGTATCAAACAACATCATTACGACTTGAGACAAATTTCCTTCTAAAAACTTAATGACAGTAATCTCATTTTCATGGTTTCAGTGGTGACTCGGCTTGATTTCAGGGGCCAAATCAATACAAGACAAAGAGAGTGGGAGGGGTTGTTTTGCAGGGTGAAAAGCCATCAGAACAGATGCTGACGGTGTCTCTTTACCTCCCAGAAGCTGTCCATGGTGTCGTCAACACCTGCACTTTCATCGTAGGAGCCAGACATTTTCCTGGATGTGGCAAAGCACTCTAATGACTAAACCTGTCCTCTGCAGCAGAGCTGGGTTCCTCATGCACTGAAAGAGAAAGAGAGCAACAACAATGTGAGACAGTAACATGACACATACAAAAAACAAAGAAGTACAGTGAGTATGAGCAGGAAACATTAGTAGGAAAACATGGCCAGGCTGGCCTCTGTGTAACGATAAAGAACAGCAATGTGGCAGTTTTCCCTGACAACTGGAGGGAACCTTTCAGCGTGAGGGTTTCTATTTGAGACACTTATAATAATGAGATAAAAATAGTCTCCTCCGCCATGCATACAGCGCCTTGCTCCGAGGAAGGAGAAGGGGCATCTTATATTGGCGTGTCCTAGAAAAGACACCAAAGAGAGTAGAGCATCACACGGCTCTGACCCTGAATCCTTCCACAGAGCAAACCCACATGACACATTAAACCTTAACAACAGACACACAACAGCACACATGCTACACATGCTTCATCACAAAGTTCAGCAGCCCAGGAACGCGCTTTGTGTGCAAACATAGTATCATGTAATTGCAAGACTTAAAATAGAATTGAAACGCACACATTAAAAGAAGATCAACATGCCTATTTTCACGCCTACACATGTCCTTTAATGATGTGCTCTAATCACCGGTTCCTGCTGGATTTCCTCCAGCATTTAAGGTGATTTATATTTATTTGTCTGACGTCTGGTCGATATCTTACCACCAAGGTTAAAACAGAAGAGACTGCTGGATGCTATATTGGTATCGAACTCTGTTTGAAGCCTAATCCATTTTGCTCACATGACTAATGCTTCTCCCCTGACAGAGAGCTCTTCATCGCACTGCAACAACCAATATGACAAGGCAATAATATATTGCATGTGCCTAATAACAATGATGAGGCTGTGTTGATAATGCTCCTGCTCTGACATGGTTTCTTGCTCTTTATAATTAAATGTAGTTGATTGCGGCCATTATCTAATTCTGCACATGGTCAAAATGCAACTTTATTATAGCTTTTAATTAAAATGATGAAGAGTTTTGCACAATGCTATTAAGAGTACAGAGTCATTTATTGATTCTTAATATGCAAAATCCAAAATAAGTGTTAGTTAAGCGTTCTAGATAGAGGTCAATGAAGATGAAAGACGATTTTCGGCTAATTCAGATTATAAACTGAGTCGGAACTCTACAGTCTGCAGCATCACAATGAATATTTGGTTCAAATATTACCAGTGTCCTCCATACTTCATCCTTCAACTTCTCTCTGCAGTCAAGTGCAAATTAATTCCTGCAACATCCTTCATCCCTGGAATGAGTCATGAACAATGACTTTCTGTGTTAGGCTCAATTTGAACCAGCCTGGCCTCACTTTTTCTTATACACAACATGACAACACGACTGTCCTTGTGAGAAAAATAAGAGTGCTGAAATCACAAGGTCATCTTGCGAAGGGAAAGTAGTTTCAGTAGCAGCTCCTGCAGCGTGCTCTGTGTTTTCATACTCTGGTTTCAGCTGCAGAACAGGCAATCTAGTCCAGCTCAGAGCACTGACTGATTTAGCCGAGCTGTATTTTATCAAAGGCCATGGTTACTGTCACCAGCCATCACACCAGTCTGTGGGGCTCTTAACAGTCATGGCTTTCAGACAGCGGCTATTTCAAGAGAGCACTCTGTGCTGGTGCAACACAAAATACCAAAGGACTATTTCATGATTTAACAATTTTACAATTTCAGTTTCTGAATGAAAGACAACTCGAGCCTTTCAGTTGCACTGGGATCAGCAGCTTTTTTCCTGAAAAGGCAGCTCAAAGACTCTGACAGAAAGAAAAAAGAAAGAAGATGCAATGTTTTCTTTGCACTCTACTCCTCTATCTGAGTTGCAGTGTTTGATACAACTGCCAGCTGCATATAATGTAACTTTTCATAGGAGAAACAACATTTCACATGGCACAGAGTGACTGATTATGTCCTAATTAAAGCCTATAGATGAATTGAATATCATTATCAGTCATGGACAGCACAACCAATAAAAATGAATGCGATATTATGTATGTGCATAATATATAATAATCACTTCACTACCATCACAGTTTCATCTTTTAAATTTTGTTAGACATTTTCTGTTCTGTTCTGTTCTGATTCCAAAGACCATCTTGAGCTTGACTGACTTCTACTCCTGTGAGTTTGTACATCTTGCGGGGCCTTCCACATTATGTGTGAATCTATCATTTGGGACACACCGTCAGTAATCCCCTTCTTGAAAACAGGGACATGACCCCTTTCTGTAAATCCAACACTGAGGAGACATGTCAGCCACCCCAACAAACTGCTCTACAGATTATAGAGCCGAGTATGTAATCCATACCCTGTGCCACTGAATACAGTTCATGACAATAAAGAGACTCCAATTACATCACTGACTTACGCAAAGAAAAATGACTCAACCTCCCAGAGTTCAGACACATCTTTCTGTCATCCTGAGGACATACAGCATCTGTTTAAATTAAGTTTCATAAAGAAATAGTTTGACATTTTGGGAAATACACTTTCTTGCTGAGAGTTAGACGATTAGAGTGATACCACTCTCATATCCATAGGATAAATATGAAGCTACAGCTACAGCCAGCTTAGTTTACCATAGAGATTGGAAACAGTGGGAAACAGCAAGGGGAAACGGCTGTTTCCAAAGGTCATAGAATCTGCCTACCATCAGCTCTAAAGTTCACTAATTCACATGTTATATCTTGTTTGTTTAATTGGTGCAAAAACCAAAGTGTAAACAGGACAAGATGTGGTTTTCCAGTCTTTATGCTAAGCTAATCAGTAAAACTATTCCTTTAAAGGGGCTGTAAGTTTTCTCTGCCACAGAACATGGGTTAATTTTGGGAGCAGGTGATGGTGATGGTCGCTTGCTAAGAGCTTCAGCCATTGTTGTATTTACAAGACAAGAGGTTATACTTCTTTAGGACAGACTGGACACTACAGTGACAAGACAGACCTGGCTGTACTGGGACTAGCTGGTTAGCATGCTAACTTCAACAGAGGACAGGATGTGATAGAAATAGAAGTGTCAACATTGGCGTTGCTTTCCACAACTGATGACAGCTCTTGGCAAGTAAAAGAACAGCTGTTAATGCTAATGTTGGCAATGGAGCGATATCAAAACTTACAAATAGCTTCTTTAAAAAAGAACCTTGTGGCACAGCGTCCAGTTGAACCTACCACTGAGGCTGATATTCTTTTGTCAGTTGGACATAGTGATCATGTGTTTTGTAGACTATGTTGTATGTGTAACCTAATAGAGACCAATTATATGCTTATAGTAAGACACACTTGCATTCATAAGTGAAGGTATAGAAAGTTCAACTAACTAGTTTATATAGTTTCATACTCTTTCTTTAGGACCTGTGTGGTAAATATTCAGGATACATTTAAACAGGAGATTTGCTGCAATGGTTGATGATAACAATGCTTCCACCTGCTGAGATCAGTCTGACGCTCTCTCCTCAATAAATACAGACTCACCAGCGACCTCAAGGCCCTGCCTTATGGACGCAAATATTTGACTGAAGGTATTTTTGAAGAAAAAAAAACACACTGAAAGCTTAGTGACATAAATACTCAACTATGTGATGCAAGAAAACTTCATGCAGCTAGAAAGTTAAGCAGCCATAAGTAGCATTTCTTAATCTCAATAAACAAACACCATTGGTCAAGTTGCCGACCCGTCACCCTATTCGTCCAATAAGCTTTGGCATCCGTGACTACAACATCTAGTGACATCAAAGCCAGTTAAGCTCCGGCATGATGCCAGAATCCCATCTCACAATACAACCAATGTGTCCAGCAGCCAATTTTAACCAAAACTCACACACTTAAATCAACATAACACTTGATGACATTTAGAAAGCATTTAGAAAAAAAACAAATAATTCCCAGATAACGATCCACACATTTCATTAATTCAGTAATCTCAACATAGACTGGAGTCAAATAATTCTGTTGCTTGGATAATTATATGTACATGTTTATGTCAGTGAAAAGAGTGAAAATAAAAATATAAAATACAAAAAAGAAAAAAGAAATGGTTTTGACATCTGGATTGGTTTGTTAACTCTAAGGACAGTGTGGACATAAATATCACCACCCTTGGTTGACTGGGTGATCGAGCAGAAAGAGACTACATCATATAAAAGTCACAGTTTGGGTCCACAGTGGGAGAGTCTAGTGTGTCCCATGAGACAGATGAGGGTGGGGGGTGGTAGTAGTAAGCATTCTGGAGAGGGGGCTTATACTGGAGTTATTGAGGTCAATCCACCTCAGTGACTGCGAACACACTTCACATTCCCCAGTGTATTAGCTGGTGAGGAAGTCATAGTGAAGACAGAAGACTGTTTCTAATATTACTCAGTGTTTATCAGAACAAATGTGACATTAACGGGATGGAAGGCCTGTATACAATGTATACACTGCAAAGAAACACCAAGATATTGCACACATAGGTAAATCATAAATATAATAGCTGGTCTGCACAAGAAACATTGATTCATTTGAATGTATCTTTCAGTCTGAAACCGCTAACATCCCACTTACTGACAAAACACTTGCTGCTGCCAAATCAATTCCTTTTGTAATGTAAAGTCTCTTAGGAGTCTGCAGTGATGTTGCAGAGGCAGCGTTGTTGTCTGAAGCTGGAAAAACACTACAATCCAAACTTTGTAAATAAATAAACATTCTTCGGCACATTCACTTACCATGGTTGGCTCCATCATTGCAAAAGAAAAAAGAAAAACAATCCCAAAAATTTGTAATGACACACAACTCTAAAATGACAGACTCCTCGTGGATGTATGACTTTGTAGTCCAGATGTGTCCTTTTTATGGTTGGTAAAGGATGTGTTGCAAAATTTTATTTTTGCAGCTTTGACCTCTGCGGCCAAAGTGAACGCAGAGAGGACGATAAGTCTGACCAAACCAGCATGTCTCAGAGGCTGAGGGATAATCCTGCAGTGTGCCACTTGAATAGCTTTAGAGGGGGGAGGGAGGAAGAGCAAAGAAGCGGATAGGATGAGTGAAACAGAGAAACAAAAAGTGGGAAGAGGAACATGATGCTGACAAGAAACTGTAATAATTATGACATTATGTACTGACAGGATAGCATAACTGTGAAACACCACATAAGGTGCATTAGGGTGGGGTTTCTAATCTTCTTTTTTTTTGTGGACTTTCTTTTTGCTCATGCAGCACTTCACTCCTGTGACTGAGCTCACAGCAACATGACGCAACAAAAAAACTGCAGGTCCTCGATGAATGAATGCTTTTAAGAGAGTTAAAGAAAATCCCTGATCCAGGTGAAGCAAATGTTCCTAACACAGTCAGAGGGTCCAGTGTTGACAAGCCTTATAAAGCACTGAATGGGAACCACAACAAAGACGTAAGCTTGTTACAGTAAGAAGATTTGAGAGAGATGAACTAACTTTACTCTAGCACATTATCAAGCTCACTGTCTCCCGACCAATTAGACAACAGCAGCTGAAAGACGAAGTTGCTGACCAAACTCTCTCTAGTAATGTATGGTGATCAGAAAATAGCTATGGCTGCACTTAAATTTAATATGGCTTCTCAAACATTATCAGAAGACGCTCAGCCCTCTGCTGATGTTTTGATACAGTTGGTTTACGATGCCTACTGGTTGTCTGCTGATTCTGTCTGATAAACGCAGCACGCCCTCCTATTTTACCGACCGAGTAAAAAGGGGACACACAAGGAGAGAGACAGAGGGAGGTCTTTCATTGAGATACAGCAAGGAGAGGGTGACAGAGAAAAACTGAGCGAGACGCCAGCGGCAGGGAGGAGAATAGGAGGGGAGATGAGATGAAGATTGAGATAGAGGCAGGGACAGAGGTGACAGGAGTGAGGTGATGGAGAGGAAGGTTGGGAAAAAAATGCAGCAAGTTCAGGAGGTAGCGTGGAGCTGGTCAGACGGCCGGACCGTTCCTCTGTGGAATAGAGAGAGCCAAAGGGCCAGGACGTAAGCTGAACACATCAGGACTGAGATGTGATTCATCTCATGGTGCAGCACAGCATAAGCTGACTGGCTGGATGTTGCCAGGAGACAGAGCTGCCTTGTGCAGACTTCACACACGCCGTAATAGCCGAGGCCATGTGACCATTGCTTTAGACAAGAGCAAGAGGGCTGGTTCAGTGACGCAGGGTCAGCTGTCCATTCCACGGTCGTGGGACGTCCTCGAGTATGCGCATGCACCAATGCACACAAGAGGGGAACCGGTGGCGTGTAATTGCATACTGAACCAAAAGACAGAAGGAGACAGAGCATTGAATTGAAAAAAAAGATGCAGTAACGGCAGGGCTAGTTAAAAGAGAAAGTGCAATAAAGGAGAAATGAAGGGAGGCCGGTGAGGGTGATGGGTGATGGTGGTCTTGTGTTGGATTTATCAGCCGAACGTGTAATGCCGTGAGCCCTCTTCGCTGCTCGCTGGGGCATGGAATAGGAGAGTCAAATCTGAACTGACATGTTGATCCAGATGGGGAATCTGCCACAGAATTTAGAAAAAAACAACCCCCCCATCTCCTCTCTCTCTCCTTCCTCAGCTCACGGATAGCCTAGCCAACAGAGGAAAGCCCCTGAAACATCTGTATACAATGACAGAATTGTCTTTATTTGTTTGGAAACATTCCGTCAAAGAAGGAGACAAGTAATATATATCTGGAAGAGAAATGTGGTACCCAAGCGGTTTTTCCATTGTTAGGGAATGCTTATTCATAGTTAATCATACTGCAACCAAGTTAGCAACTCTGAGGCTGTACTTAAGCACAGTGGTGCTGTCAGTATGCTAACATGCTCACAATTACAATGCTAACACTGAGATTAATGTTTACCATGTTGACCATCTTAGTTTAGCATGTTAGCGTGCTAACATTTGCTATTTGTTGTGATTCATTATGTGAAGCAGTCCGCACCTTGTAATACAAGCTGAGGCTGATGGAGACATTAGTTTTGCAGGTATTTGCTCATACACCAAAGCATTGGAAAAATAATAATGTTGATCTGCTGGGGGAACTAGATGAAAAGTCAGAGAACCATCAAAGTTTTTAAAATTCAACATCAGGGGGGAATGAATAAACTAAACTTCATGGCAATCCATCCAATAATTGTTGAGACATTTCACTAAGTATCAACCTCAAGATGGTTAATGATGAGCATGAAAGTCATTAGGATTAATCATCCAGGAATGAATGTCTGAAGAATGCCATCTTGTAGATTAGTTAAGTTAATAATTATGACCAGCTGATGGCTCTAGAAGAAAGGCCAAGCGATCATCAAAGTTGTTTGAATTCATCGCCTGGGGACCATGTATGTGTGAGATATTGGACCAAATGTTGGACCTACCAGCAATGCATCCCTAGTGCCATGCTGCTAGTGAGGTGAAAACATTACAGCGTTAAAACTGTGTATCTGAATGCACAACATCACATGTCATACACAAACTGATGGTTGTGAGACCAGCTTCATCATAAGCTCCACAATCCTACTGAGATGAAGGCAGATCTGACTCTTATAACCTGTAGCACCAAGACGTCACTTTCGATCCGTCTCCCACATCAAACCCATCAGATATTCTGTAAATAAGTATCTCTCTTCATAACGAGCTACTCATCCAACACACATTTCATTCAGAATTGTAATGAGTCTACTTGATTGCAACTGCCAGATGTTATAATATAACAACCCAGTGCATAGCAGAATTTGCATGAGTAGACTAGCTGTGTATGTCATGATTTCAAACAACCAAGTGCCGGATGACTCAGCTATCTGATCACGAATGCCTCCAGATGTCCTCTGGGTTGTTGCTGCGCAAGAATCAAGTTTCTGCATTATTGTTTGTTCCTGCGGTGGGTGAGGGCTGGGGGGCACTTTAATCAATATCTATTTTGTGTAGCTGTGTGAGTCAGCCAGGTGTGTTATTGCTAACCTCCCAGAAAAACAGACCACACAATAATTCATTATCACTGCAATGTAAATAACAGAAAAGACATGAGCATCATTAAGTAATATTACACTTCAGTGAGTTCTATAGGAAAATGTTCTCTTCCTCTTTCACCATCACCACATGGAGGTCAGAGGTCATGATCAGCCACAGGTCATATGGAGCTGGTAGGGGGCAGAGTGTATGCTGACACACCATGCTGCCTGTCATATGACAGCCCTTAAAACAGTTTGTACACTGCTTCAGTCTCTACTGTCTGTTTTGATACAAGCACTATCCAGTGTCACCGGAGAGGTGAGGTATTGGGATGGCACTGGTTTATACTGGCAAACAAAAATAAGAATTAAAGCTAAATTTAATGGGAAAAAATGAAACTAGTCAATGTTGTTTCTGAAAAACCCTTGAATGAACCACAAAGCAAAATGATGCAGTACAATATGCAACAAAGTACGATGGAGCAAGGCATGGTCATCAAGCGGTTGAGGCCCGAACCATGAAACCACAAACTTCCCTTTTCAATTTGGACCGAGAATCTTTGTCACATGTCATCATCATCCTCTCTCTCTCCCTGTGTTTCTTGTCTCTTTACGCTGTCACAGTATCAAATGCGTTTGTTTTAAAGCCATTATATATGTCTGTAATCTGCTGACCCACAGAAAAGACAATAAAAAAGAGAATTATCACAAGGAAGAAAAAGGACAAATCTGGTCTCTGACTAGAACAGTGATTGTACAGACAATAATATTAAGATGAAAACACTATTAAGACCACTAATATAGAGAATCATAACACTGACTATGCTGAAAAGTGCCCCTTTTCTCTTTTCAAATTAAACCCTTTGGCTGCTGCTTTAGTACGTGTGTGTGTCATGACAGGGCCCCAGTTAATTCATTATCAATACAAATATGAACAAATAGAGCCGATCCATGCGCTCCATCCTGGATAAACAAAAATATAAAACCTTAAACTGAAGTGGGTCTTGCCTATTAACCTTGTGATACTCCTGAGACACAGACTGATTGAACTTGGCAGTTTATATTAAACTGTTTTTGTCCTGTTCTCGCTCTCCCTCCTCTGCACAACATCTTGCTTATGTTGTTTAGAATATCCAACCTTATCGTAACCTCAGCAGTTGGGGGTCATGCTCACAAAGTTCAACACTACAACACCTCTAATATTCAAACACAATCTGAGTATATTATTTAATAGTACTCTGAGGCTGACAAAAGATCTACTTTTGAAGAGTGTGGTTCGTGTGATGACATGACTCACCGTCTCTTAAACCTAGTATATTACTACAAAGTAGGCAGTGTGTAGACATAACCTGAAGCGTTTAGAGGAGAAATCTAACATTTCCAAAACAGCTGTCAGGAGCAAAGAGTAGAGCCCAATGAGTGGTGTCTACTTCAGTCAGGTCTAAGAAGGGTTAATGTCACAGTGAAAAAGAGATATTGAGTATTTATCATCTATTATACAGATAATTCAAAAGTAAGGGTAGTACAGTATGATGAGTCCAGGGATCCAGAGGTGAAGGTTGTATTTATTTTGTCCATGCTCAAAGTTGCATAGACAAAAGTAAGATGATGAATAATTTCCAACTCATGAAACATGAAACTCTCCTAGCTGAATTAAAGCATCAGTACAAACTAATATACTGTATGCAAAGGTATTGAAAAGAATCTGGTTCATTGATAAAAGGCACTGATGCAAGACAAAGTACAAAAAAAAGTCATGGGAGAATTCAAACACAAATCCTGAGGTGCACTGCTGTGAGAAAAAGCCAGTCATAACTGCCGGCACTGCTAATGAAGGGCTTAAGTTGAGCTTCATAGAAATACATTAAACATCCTGAATTAATTCTGAATAATAATACGGAAGTTTTAGTCAGCTGCACAGCTCTGGGGATGGCCAGTGGTTTGGCTGTTCAGTCTATAGTTTTGGTCAAGACTGAAATATACCAACAA